CTCGATGTGATCCAGCTGCAGGAGCCGCCGGTGTCGCCAGACGACGCACCCCCTCCGCCACAGCGAGCATCAGAGGCCCAATGCGCCCGCCTCCACAGCAGGGCTGTGATCGAGGGCCCAGGGGATCGAGGGCCCAGGTTCGAAGGCTTGAGGTTCGAGGGTGGAGCCTGGACATTTTTCGCTCTTCTTAATTGGGTCTGCAGGGGTCTTTCATAGCTGCTGAGGTTGTATCGGGATCAAGATTCTGGCCAGGAAGCTCCCAGGAGCTTTTGGTAGTGGCAAAAGAGGACGGTCGAAAAATCCCACAGTGCGACGAGGAACCCAGGACCGCCCCCCCAGATCGTTTGGTCTGGCAGCCTTTTCGCCTGAGGAATTCTTCACAATTCATCCAGGAATAGCGCTTGCGCCTCAATGCTGGCTACGTTTTTGGCCTGGAGGGCCACGATCCCTAGTAAAAAACATCACGGTGTACATGGCCGTGCTCTCACCTGCCATTCGACATTTTTTTGTTTTTTGTCGCGAACGGCGAACATATACATATAACGGCGCACCGGGTCCGGGGGCCCGGGGCCGGGACCCCGACCACAAATGTGGGCTCCGGGGGGCCCGGAGGCTCGTCGGACCGCCGGACGCCGTCCAAGATCGTTCGCAGGCGGCTTCGGAACGCGCTCCGATGGCTCCAGATGCCTTCCAAGACGCCTGTCATGACACCAAGAAGGTCCCAGAAGCCTCCAAGACGCTCCGAGAGGCAGCCCAAGAGAGGCCCAAGAAGCAAAAATCGTGCCATTCCTATGGGAAAACGTATATTGTAGTGGCCTCCGGCCAGTGCCGCCGATCCGGGGCGCTCTTAATCCTTCTACTCCTCCTCTTCTTGCTTCTCCTCCTCCTCCCGCATCCTCTTCCTTCTCCTCCTCCTTCTCGTGCGCTTTCCGCTCCTCCTTTCCCGCCTCGGTGTCCTCCTACTCCTCCCTCATCTCCTCTTTTTCCTCCTGCTCTACGTTTTGTTCCCCCAAATTCGTTTTTTTTGTGTGTAAAAAACGTGCTTCCTCTCCTGATCCTTTTTTTTTCTCCTCCGAGAGCGTCTCGTCGTTCCTCGAGGACCGGCCCACCCTGTCCTGGCCCCGTCTAGGGGCTAATAGAGAGCCCTTAGGGGGCTTCAAGATAGCCTCAAGAGGGCTCTAAGAGAAGGAGGCCCAGGTCTCATCGAACCGCTGTTCTCGATGAGACCTGGCGCGCTCCTCCTGGAGCCCTCTTGGGGTCCTCTTGTCCCACTCCTGGTGCCCCTCGAGAGCCCTCTCACACTGTCTGGGTCGGCTCTTCTGGCTCCAAGAGATTTCCAACCGGGCCTTACGAGGGTTCCAAGAGGGGTCCCAGAGAAACCAAAATGGGCTTCAGGAGAGTCCCAAGAGGGGCGCGCGAGGTCTCATCGGTCCCGGGACCCGGGACCGGCGCATGCAGGACCCTGGACCTCCGATGGCTCCAGATGCCTTCCAAGACGCCTGTCATGACACCAAGAAGGTCCCAGAAGCCTCCAAGACGCTCCGAGAGGCAGCCCAAGAGAGGCCCAAGAAGCAAAAATCGTGCCATTCCTATGGGGAAACGTATATTTTTCGCACGTTCGCCTCTTGGGCTTTCACCGCGTCCAAGACGGCCCAAGAGGCGCCCAAGACGGTCTACGAGGCCTCCGGGAGCGCTCCAAGGCTGCGCACGAGTGGCCCAGGACGGCCCCAAGACGGCCGAAGAGAGCCCCAAGACGAGTTCGAGAGGGGTCCCAGAAGGAGAAAGCCACTCTCGAATTCCGAGCTTCCGGCCCAACATATCCCAGGAGGCGCCAAAACGCCGCCCAGAGGCGCCAAAAGGCTCCCCAAAGCACCCCAAGACGTTCCGAGAGGCACCCCAAGAGAGGTCCAAGAAACAAAAATCGTGGCATTCCTATGGGAAAGCGTATTTTTTTCGCATTTTCGCATCTTGGGCTTTCACCGCGTCCAAGACGGCCCAAGAGGCCTCCAAGACGGCCTAGGAGGCCTCCGGGAGCGCTCCAAGGCTGCGCACGAGTGGCTCAGGACGGCCCCAAGACGGCCCAAGAGAACCCCAAGACGACTTCGAGAGGGGTCCCAGAAGGAGAAAGCCACTCTCGAATTCCGAGCTTCCGGCCCAACATATCCCAGGAGGCGCCAAAACGCCGCCCAGAGGCGCCAAAAGGCTTCCAAAATCAGCCCAAGACGTTCCGAGAGGCACCCCAAGAGAGGTCCAAGAAACAAAAATCGTGCCATTCCTATGGGAAAGCGTATTTCTTGGGGTCCTCTTGTCCCACTCCTGGTGCCCCTCGAGAGCCCTCTCACACTGTCTGGGTCGGCTCTTCTGGCTCCAAGAGATTTCCAACCGGGCCTTACGAGGGTTCCAAGAGGGGTCCCAGAGAAACCAAAATGGGCTTCAGGAGAGTCCCAAGAGGGGCGCGCGAGGTCTCATCGGTCCCGGGACCCGGGACCGGCGCATGCAGGACCCTGGACCTCCGATGGCTCCAGATGCCTTCCAAGACGCCTGTCATGACACCAAGAAGGTCCCAGAAGCCTCCAAGACGCTCCGAGAGGCAGCCCAAGAGAGGCCCAAGAAGCAAAAATCGTGCCATTCCTATGGGAAAACGTATATTTTTCGCATGTTCGCCTCTTGGGCTTTCACCGCGTCCAAGACGGCCCAAGAGGCGCCCAAGACCGCCCCAAGACGGCCCAAGAAGCTTCCAAGAGGGCCCCAGGACAGCCCAAGAGGGCCCCAAGACGGCCCAAGAGGCGCCCAAGATGGCCCAAGAGGGCCCCAAGACGGGCCCAAGAGGGGGCCCAGAGGGGGACCACGAACCGCAAGCTCGAGCCTTCCGCCCCAAGAGGCCGCCAGGAGGCCCCAAGGAGGCCCCTCAAGAGGCCCCAGGAGACCCCCAAGAGGCCCAAAGGAGGCCCCGAGAAGCCCCAAATCGGCCCCCAAAATGCTTCGAACCTGCTTCCAGGAGGCCCCCGACAGGTTCAGAGGCTCCCGAGAAGCTACGTCAAACTCCCAGCGAGCGGCCAGACGAGGCCCCCCACAAAATCACAAGAGGGTGGTTCCAGTATTTGTATCCTTCAGCGCTCTCTGGCCTTCTTCCCCCTGCCCCCTTCCCTGCGACTTTGTTGACTCAAGCTCGCCTCCTAGCTAGAACCTTAGCGCGCGCGAAGCGCGCGCGTGGTTCTAGTATACATATCTATGCCCTTGCTGTCTGGATGCAGGGGTGCTATCCCGTGAACGCGCGTTCGCATGGATATGTTCCGCGCGGGGCATCTTCGAAAAAAATGCCCCGTGTCCATGGGGGCGCGGTCCAGGGGCCCAGCCAGCGAGGCCGTGGATATGGACACGGATATGGCTCTTGCCCACGATTTTTGTCGTGCTTGGTTCTTTCTGGGACTCCTGGGGTCGCCCTGTGGCCATGGCTGGACGCAGCTCGCAGCACGGGGCGTGACCCCACCATGATTTTTCTCACACTGTCCACCTAGGGAGTCTCAGCCTAGCGTTTCATCCCGGGTCGTCTTTCGATGGTCGGCGAGGGCCCCCCAAGCTCGAAAACTGTACAAAAACCTTGCGTATTGATTCTTTCACGACGCGAGGTGGTCAGGGTCGTGGCCACAGCTGGATGCAGCTCGAAGCACGGGCCTGGCTGGCGTCCAGGAGGGGGTCCGAGGAGCGGCTCCGTGCGAGAGTGGATGTACCAGCCCAGGCGTCTGGGCGTCGCGACAAAGCCACCACGGGCGTCGTTCGTCACGTCTTCCTCCAGGGAGGGGGGGGCGCTTCTGAGCCCAGGGGGCTTCAGAAGACATCCGATGCGCGACAGGGTGTCGTGGGATCTTGTCGACGCTGGTCTTGGTCATGGTCCGTGCGGGCGGTCGCCGATGTATTCTTCCTCGATTTCGGCCTCCAAGGCTTCCAGGGCTTCTCACCGGGCCCGTGGACCATCGCAAATGGATGTAGGGCGATAAACCCAGCGGCGACCGAAATACCAGTCCAAGCGGGGTGGGGTGGCCCGCGCCGCGAGTAGAAGAGCACGAAGCAGGAGGTCGGGGCCCGTGTCCTTGCACCTCCCTCCCTTCCCCTGCCGCTTCCTCCGCTCCTCTGCCTCCGCCTCCCCACCCCATCCTTTTCTTAATCCCCCCCCTCCAGCGTTTTTTGTTCTGAAAAGCACGATGGGTGGCTTTTTGGTATTGTCGGCCTCTGGGGGCTCTCGCCGGGCTACGGGATCGTCAACAAGCGACTCAGGATGAAGAGCCGGGCCTGGGCAATGGGTCGAGACCTTCGGGTTCGTCGAGGGACTTGGTACCTTCCTTCTCCTCCTCCCATCTTCCCCCCTCGCTCTGGCCACGGTCGCTCCCTCCCCCCTCCTCTCCAGAGGAACCCGCAGAATCTGGAGGGCCAGGAGAGCCTAGGGAATCCGAAGAGCCACCCATGGTCCGGGGCCTCCATGCGAAAGAACTGTCCACATAGTATCATCAATGTCTTCTTTTTCACCGCCTCTCCTTCGCTCCCTGGTAGGTTCGAAGCTTCAGCTGAGCAGAAGCCAATTCTACGCCGACGCTAAGCTGGGAGCCAACCCTAACTCCAAGCTGAAGCTGAGCGCCACACATTTCCTCTTGCAGCTAATGCTAGCTCCAACTCCAACGGGAACTACTTCCCACAAGTCGACCTGAAGCTAAGCTGACATACAAGCGAGGGTGACTTCTGACGCTGATGCTGACGCTCTCCCGAGTGGTTCTCAGGCCACAAGTCGGGCCTCTGGCGGCCGTTCGGGACGACCCTGGCACCTGCGCCACTGATGGAAACCACGGGCCTCGAGACCTCGAGAATTTGACAGAGAACAGTCGAGCACTTCCTCCTGGGCGTATCCCCAGCCCCCTAACGTTGCCTTTCCCCCCCCCCTCCCCCCCAAACAAAGGCCGGACAATGGCCCCTCACCCCCGCGGTAGGAGGTGCTCGACCAGCGCCTGATGGAGCGCCAGGCCCGGGAGACGGGCATCTGCCCCGTCCGCGAAGAGCTCTACTCCCAGTGCTTCGACGAGCTCATCCGTCAGGCGACGACCTCGGCCGTGTGCCCTCGCGGCTCGGTCCGTCTCGAGTTCTTGCTCGTCGTCGTCGTCGTCGCCGCCGTCGTCGTCGTCGTCGTCGGTCGTCGCCCTCCCTCCTCTTCTGCGAGCCTTGGCGGTGGTGGTGGCGCAAGCGGCAGGCCGTCTCGGCACGTGTGCCGCCCGCCAACACATGGAAGGAGGCACGCCTAGAGCAAAGCCCTCGGCGAACGAAACGCGAGTTTTCCAACTTGATTCTGGGCTCCACTGCGCATCCTGGGCTCTGGCCCAACCGCCGTGCTCTCGCAGGGCCGTCCTTCTGGACGCATGTCGGCGCCTCGCCTCGCCTCGCCCGGACAAAGTCGGGGTCGATCCACTGCGGTGTCCTGGGAGGGCGCAGCTGCCGCGACGGGGCTCGCACGCGGCTCCGCCGCTTCAAGCGGTGTACGATCAGAGCAGGAACGCAGCAGAGCCATGTGAACGCGTGGGATTGACTGTGTAGCTCCGCACGCGTGCCAAACTCTCCTTCGAGTAGAGCACGGCGGAGCCCCAGCACAGCGAGGCATTGCCAGTGTAGCTCAGCGTCAAGACAGTGGGCGACGTCGCCGATGCGTCGCCGATGCATCAGTGATGCATCGGCAACGCGGCGCGATCCTTCGACCCCATCAGTCGGCGCGCCGTTTGTTCCGTCGCGCGGCTTTCCGCCTTGGACAGGGCGCCGCGGCCCCTAGGACAAACGCCGCCTCGGGCGCAGGGCTTGCTGTGAGTTTGCCGTGGTTTTCCGTGATGTCGGCTTCGTCTCTTGAGGCGCGTCGAGAACAAACGGCGCGGCGATATCCACTCGGACCCCATGTACAGCCATCATAACTCGCAAGAAAAACATGACTTCTTAAAGCAATAATGATACCAGAGAAAAAACCCAATCAGATTTTTGTTAATGGCTATAGGGCTATGGGGCTATAGGGCTATAGGGCTGCAGGGCTATAGGGCAATAAGGCCATGGGGCCATGGGGCTATAGTGCTATAGGGCTTTGGGGCAATTGGGCCATAGGGCTATAGGGCTATAGGGCTATAGTGCTATAGGGCTATGAGGCTATGAGGCTATAGGGCTATCAGGGCTATAGGGCTATTGGGCTATGTGGGGTATAGGGCTATAGGGCTATAAGGCTCTAGGGCTACAAGGCTATGAGGCTATCAGGGCTCTAGGGCTTTGGGGCTTTGGGGCTACAGGGCACCTGGGCACCTGGGCACCCGGGCACGCCCGGGCACCCGGGCACGCCCGGGCACCCGGGCACCCAGGCACCCGGGCACCCGGGCACCTGGGCACCCCCGGGCACCCGGGCAACCGGGCGTGCGGCGAAAATCGCCGGCAAACCTAACCTAACCAAATGAATCCGCTAGGACCCCTACAGAGGCAAGCTCTGATTGGGGAATCTGGACTGGACCCTGGGCGTTTTCTCGGAGCTTTCTTCTTGTTCGCAGAACTTGTCGCATATTTGGACCTGGCCTACTTACTGTCTAAGAGAGCGCTTCGAGTGAAGGCCGTTCTCTTAGCCTAACCTTTTCTTAAGCCTAACCAGGGGTGTAGGAGGCCTCTGGCGAGGATCGCCGTCAGGGACCTCCTGCGGGATCGTGACGCTGCCGCCCGTGTCGGCTGGAGGCGCGCGGGCCTCGGCCGCGCGCGGCCGCTGTCAGCCCATGCGGAGGGGCGCCGCTGCGCCAGGCGCCCCTCCAGGGGACGGCCCTCCAGGGGTCGGCCGCGGTTGTCGGCGGCCCTTCCCTGGCGTCGGCCGGAGGGAAGGGGGGCCCGTACGCCACTCTCGGGGAAACGCACGTAAGACCCGAGCACGCCAGAACTCGGATTTTCCAACGAGCTTTGGCGGGCCCGTCCTGGGTTTTGAGGTTTCAATTCTCGCGGGATGTCTGCAGCAGGAGATCGCGTCAAATTTCAGACTGGGTCTCCTCATTTTCCTGACGGCCCCGTCAGGCCAATCCGAGTCCCCCTGACCCGAGTCTCACGTCTCCCCGACATTCGGACGTCGCGCAATCGGGGTGCGATATGTGGGGGACTGAACAAACGTGCACCTTTCGTGCACCTGCCCTCAAGGGGCCCCCCGCGGCCCAAACGGGGCGCGACGGGTGCACGTTTTTTTCGCCCCCTCCCGTTTGTCGCCCCTCATTCAGCGACGCCCAAGCCATGCTGAGGCCCAGGATGGCAGCCCTGGTCTGGGATGGCGGCGTGGCTCAGCTCAGGGCATATTTTTCCCTGTTGGAGCCGCCCATTCTGCAGGACGCTGCGCTGCCGCGCGATTCCGCCACCGCGTTTGGGCGGGCGGAGGGGGGGGGTGCCGATGCGGGGGGGGAGGGGGGACGGACCCCCCCCTTTCCCAGGCTTTGTATCTGGGACCGTATTCTGTTTGGAAGGCCTCAGGCGCAGGGGCTTGGCTTCCCTTCAGAGTGTGGCTCGAGCTTTGGCGCCGCTCACACGTGTATTGAATGTTGGCAGTAGTTTAAAGGATTCGTATTTTTGAAGTCCTAGGAATCGTGTTGTGGCGATGTTGAGGACTGATCGGACGCAGCATTTGCATGGGCTCAATGTGCTGAAGCCCCAGGAACAGTGTTCTGACACGATTTGACATTGTCAGGACGAATCCGCCACATTGATTCGCAGCGCTGCGCGGAAGTCCCAGGATCAGTGTTTTGGCGCGGCGGGGGATTCTCAGATGGTTGTCTTCAGTGAGGCACCTCCCGCAATGAAGATACATTCTCGTAGGGACTTATGAAGAGGGAACTGGGAAGGAGGGTTACATGCACCATCGTTAGTTCGTCTTGGGTTTACACTGGTTCTCCTCCTCCTTTGTGCATTTCTCTCGTCTCAGGTGACGATCCACTGCCCCGAACATGGTCGCCAACTCCTCGCCCACCTCCTCGCCCCCCCCGGTCCTTGTCCCCCTCCTCCTTCAACTTCTCCTTCGTGCTTTTCTGTCGCTTCAGGTGACGATCAACTGCCCCGAGCGTGGCCTTCTCCTCCTCCGCGGCCTCCTCCTCCTCCTCCTCCTCCTTGCCCACCCCCTCGTGGTCGTCGCCCTCCTCCTCCTCCTCCTTCTCCTCCTTTGTGCCTTTCTTTCTGTAGAAATTCATTGGGAGCCTTGTATGTCCTCGCACTTCTGCTTTTTGGGTGCACTAGCTTGCGCCAACGTCAACTCGTCGATGAGAACGCACTGATTTAGTTAGCGTCGAATAGCGCCTGTTCAGCGTCGATCTAGCGCCGATTAGGGCCGATTCGCGTCGATTAGCGTGAATTAGCGTCGATTCGCAAGAGAGCAGCGCTTTCACTCGCCTCAGGTGACAATCAACTGCCCCGAGCGCGGCCTTCTCCTGCTGCGCGTCCGCGACGAGATCCGCATGTCCATCGCGGCCTACCAGACGCTCTACCAGAGCAGCGTGACCTTCGGGACCCGCAAGCAGCTGCAGTCCGAACAGGGCAAGGCCGAGACGGAGCAGCTGATCGCCGAGCACGAGGAGCAGAAGAGGCAGCGCGAGGCGCGCGTGGTGGAGCTCAAGAACAAGTGCGAGGCGATCGAGCGCCGCGAGGCGGAGCGTCGCGCGGTGGACGAGCGCAAGCGCAAGGAGGAGCTAGAGTTCCTGAAGCACCAGCAGCAGAACCTCGATTCGTTCCTCAAGAGCCACGACACCAAGGCCTGAGTTGTCCCAGCGGCGCGACTTCGTTCCCGACGCCTTCCTTGCGATCTCTGACTGTCTGTACCCATCTCCATCATCAAGGACGCCCTCGAGGGCGCGAATTTTTTCGCGCTTCGCGCTTCGCGGTTCGGCTCCGTTTCTTCCTTATCCTCCTCGCCTCCTTTGGGGGGGCGGCGCGAGAGCGCGAAGTTATTCGCGCTTAGTGCTTCGCAATTCGCGCAGCGCGAAGTGCGAAGTTAGGCGCCCTTGCATCATCGCCTGTGCTGCAGGGGGGGGGCCTCTGTCCCGCCCCCTCGCCTCCCCTCCGACCCCTCCCCTCCTTGCCACTCCCTTTCTATCCCACCCCTTTTCTCCCCCTGCCCTTCTCTCCCCTCACTCCCTCCAAGCTCCTCATCCCTTGTATCTCTCTCTCTCTCTCTCTCTCCCCTTCCTTCCCTCCTCCCACCACCTCCCTCCTGTATGATCACCACTTACTTGATCAGATTCCCCACTTCTCCCCCATATACTTTCATTCCTGCCCTCCTTTGCCCTCCTTCCTTTTTTCGTCCTTCCACATTCCTTCTGTATTCTCCCCGCTCCGCATTATTTCCTTATTCCGACCTGCTCCTCTCTCCCGTCTTCTTTGTTTTTCTTCCCCCCATAATTCCCACTTGCTGCTATTATTCCTTCGTCATGCTTGTATGTTGCCTTTGCCTCCTTCCTTCTTCTCTTTTTGCTCCTTCCTCATCCAATGCGAGCTGGTTGCCCTTGTGCTGGGAAATGAGGAGGCGGAGGAGAAAGAGGAGGAATAGGAGCAGGAGGAGGAGGAGGAGGAGGAGGAGGAGGAGGAGGAGGAGGAGGAGGACGAGGAGGAGCAGGAGGAGGAGGAGGAGGAGGAGGAGGAGGAGGATGAGGAGGAGACGGACGAGGAGGGCGAAGAGGAGGAGGAGGAGGAGGAGGATGATGAAGAGAGAGCAGTAGGTGGAAGGATGGGGGTTGAATGCAAGCGAGGAGGGAGGGAGAGAGGGAGGGAACGAGAGAGGAGGATGGGGAGGAGGAGGAGGCGGAGGAGGAAGAGGAGGAGGAGGAGGAGGAGGACCAGTGTAAGCCCAAGACGCATCAACGACGTTGGGATACACCCTCCCTCCAAGCTCCCTCTTCATAGGCCCCCTACAAGGGTTCACTTCCACTGAGGGGCATGCCCCGTTGGGAGTCAACCGTGTGAAAATCTGGAAGCCTGACAACACACCATCCTTAGGGCCTCAGCGCCACAAGTCAACCTGACTGTTGCGTGTTGACGGTCCTGAATCGTGCCAGAACGCCTTACTTCAACACCGCGAATCAACGTAACTGTTGCGCCCTGACAGCCCTGAGTCGTTCGAACACATTATTTCTGGAAGGCTGACCGTGCGAACCCGCAGAACTCTTGCACATTTCCCAGCCCTCCTGCGAGGGGTTCTCGTTTTGAATAGAGCAGTTCGGTCTCCGTCCTTCTCCTCCTCCCCGCCTCTCTTCTCTTCCCCTCTCCTGTGTGCCTGGTGGCTTGCCTGGGGGACTGCGATCTGCGAAAAAGGTCGCCACTTTCGAGGGCTGCTGGGGGACCAGCATAGTGGGCACTCGCAGCAGACTCAGGTTAGACCTCGCCATCCCTTGGGGGCTGCGATCTGCGAAGCCGCCGCCACTTTCGAGGGCTACTGGGGGGCCAGCATAGTGGGCACTCGCAGCATATTCAGATTGGACCTCGCCATCCTTTGGGGGCTGCGATCTGTGAAACTGTTGTCACTTTCGAGGGCTGATGGGGGGCCAGCATAGTGGGTACTCGCCGCAGACTCAGATTAGACCTCGCCATCTCTGGGGCGCTGCCGTCTGCGAAACGGTCGCCACTTTCGAGGGCTGCTGGGGGACCAGCATAGTGGGCACTCGCCGCGGACTCCGATTAGATCTTGCCATCCCTGTGTCGCGCGCGGAAGAGGTGGACCAGAGAAGGTGTTCTAAATGCGGTCTGGGGAAGCCGCGCGGGGCGTGTTCCGAGTCAGTGTGGGAAGAAAGGCCGAGGCCGCGAGAGTGCGTCGAATGCGTCGAGCGCGCCGCCGCCGAAAGGGACGAGAAGCAACGAAATGGGGGAAAAATGTTCATGGCGTGCGGCCAGGAAAAGTCGGAGGCCGCATTTTCGGAACGAATGCGGGCGAGCGTCGCCGAGAAGCATCGCAAGCGTGAAGACTGCGTGAAGGGAGGGAGAGCACCGCGGGGATATTGGAAGTGCGTGCAGTGTCAGAACTGCTTCGAGGCCGCGAGGTTCAGCGCGTGGTTGTCAAGGCGGACGCGGCAGAAGCCGAGCGGGGCACAGCGTTGTAGCGACTGCGACGCAGACCAGGAGCGGGGCCGAAAGCGCGTGGCAGACCGGTCACATCAGGTCGTGGCGAAAACGACGAAGCTCGCGTGACGTGGAAGTCTCGGCGAGTTCTTGGGGGCGGGCCTCCGCGCGGAGGCTCCCGAAAACTGGCAGTGTCAAGCGTGGTAAGCGCTGTTGTGGGCATGGCCGGGGTGGGGGGGGCGAGACGATCTGTGCGGGGTGGGCCGCCCGGATATGATTTTTGCGGGGCGGGTGTATTGGACAAAAACGTATTCGCAAAATGCTCCAGGTCGCTGGGGGTGTCAGACGTGGTGGAGGCTTCGTGGGGGGGTCCCGGGGTGATTTTTGCAGGGTGGGTGGCTTGCAAAACGGGAAGCGCAGAGGCTCCAGGGGGCTGGCGGCGTCAGACGTGGCGAGGGGTTCAGGGGCGAATTCTGCAGGGTGGGTGGTCCCAAAGAACTTATGCGCAGAGGCTCCAGGAGGCTGGCGGTGTCAGACGTGGTGGGGGTCCCGGGGCGAATTTTGCAGGGATGGTTGCCGCAAAGAACGTATGCGCAGAGGCTCCAGGAGGCTGCCGGTGTCAGACGTGGTGGTGGGCCCTGGGAGGAATTTTGCAGGTAGGTGGCGCCGAAGATTCTATGCGCAGGGGCTCCAGGAGGCTGGCGGTGTCAGAAGCGGCGGGGAGTCCCGGGGCGAATTTTCAAGGGTGGGTGGCCCCAAAAGAACCTATGCGCAAAGGCTCCAGGGGGCCGGCGGTGGCTGGCGGTGTCAGACGTGGTGGGGGGTCCCGGGCCGAATTTTTTAGGGTGGGTGGCCGCGAAGAATCTTTGCGCAGAGGCTCCAGGGGGCGGTCGGTGTCAGACGTGGCGGGGGGTCCCGGGGCGAATTTTGCAGGGTGGGGGCCCCGAAGAACTTCTGCGCAGAGGCCCCAGCAGGCTGGCGGGGTCAGACGCGGTGGGGGGTCCCGGGGCGAATTTTGCAGGGTGGGTGGCGTTAAAAAACATATGCGCAGAGGCTCCAGGAGGCTGGCGGCATTAGACGTGGTGGGGGGTCTCGGGGCGAATTTTGCAGGGTGGGTGGCCCCGAAGAACTTCTGCGCAGAGGCTCTAGGAGGCGGGCGGCGTCAGACGCGGCGGAGAGGCCCAGGGCGAATTTTGCAGGGTGGGCGGCCCCAAAGAACGTGTGCGCCGAGGCTCCTGAAGACTGGCGGTGTCAGACGTGGTGGGGGGTCCCGGGGTGAATTGTCAAGGGTGGGTGGCCCCAAGCCACGTGTGCGCAGAGGCTCCAGGAGGATGGCGGTGTCAGACGTGGTGGGGGGTTCCAGGGTGAATTTTCCAGGGTGGGTGGCCCCTAGGAACGTATGCGCAGGGCTCCAGGAAGCTGGCGGTGTCAGACGTGGTGGGGGGTCTCGGGGCGAATTTTGCAGGGTGGGTGGCCCCGGAGAACCTATATGCGCAGAGGCTCCAGGAGGCTGCCGGTGTCAGACGCGGCGGGGGGTCCCAGGGCGAATTTTGCAGGGTGGGCGGCCCCAAAGAACTTATGCGCAGAGGCTCCAGGAAGCTGGCGGTGTCAGAAGCGGTGGGGGGTCCTGGGGCGAATTTCGCAGGGTGGGTGGCCCCGAAGAATCTTTGCGCAGAGGCTCCAGGAGGCTGGCGGTGTCAGACGTGGTGGGGGGGTCCCAACGCGAATTTTGCATGGTGGGGGCCCCTAGGAACGTATGCGCAGAGGCTCCAGGAAGCCGGCGGCGTCAGATGTGGTGGGGGTCCCGGGGCGAATTTTGCAGGGTGGGTGGCCCCAAAGAACTTATGCGCAAAGGCTCCAGGAGGCTGGCGGTGTGAGACGTGGCGGGGGGCCCCGGGGCGAATTTTGCAGGGTGGGAGGCCCCAGAGAACGTATGCGCAGAGGCTCCAGCTGGCCGGCGGTGTCAGACGTGGCGGGGGGCCCCAGGGGAGTTTTGCAGGATGGGGGGGTCCCAGGGTGAATTTTGCAGGGTGGGTGCCCCCAGTGACCTTATGCGCAGAGGCTCCAGGAGGCTGGCGGTGTCAGACGTGGTGGGGGGTCACGGGAGGAATTTTGCAGGGTGGGTGGCGCCAAAGAATGTATGCGCAGAGGCTCCAGGAGGCTGGCGGACGCAGCGGGAAGTCCCGAGGCGAATTTTGCAGGGCGGGTGGCCCCAAAGAGCCTATGCGCAGAGGCTCCAGGGGGCCGGCGGCTGGCGGTATCAGACGCGGTGGGGAGTCCTGGGGCCGAATTTTGAAGGGTGGGTGGCCCCGGAGAACCTATATGCGCAGAGGCTCCGAGGCTGGCGTGTCAGACGTGGTAAGGTGCCCGGGGAGGGTGGGGTGTCCCCGGAGAACCTAAGCGCAGAGGCTCCAGGAGCGGGCGGTGTCAGACGTGGTGGGGGGTCCCGGGGCGAATTTTGTAGGGTGGGAGGCCCCGAAGCACATATGCGCAGAGGCTCCAGGAGGCGGGCGGCGTCAGACGTGGTGGGGGGTCCCGGGGCGAATTTTGCAGGGTGGGTGGCCCCAAAGAACGTTTGCGCAGAGGCTCGAGGAGGCTGGCGGTGTCAGACGTGGTGGGGGATTCTGGGGCGAATTTTGCACGGTGGGAGGCCCCAAACCACGTGTGCGCAGAGGCTCCAGGAGGCCGGCGGTGTCAGACGTGGCGGAGG